GAGGTGAGAGGTATCAATAAGATAACAAAGCTCATGAGAAACCCTGGTTTTTTAAAACAAAAATGTATACACGGTAAAAACAACAACACAACAACAACAACTAACAGCAAAGGCAAAGAGCCCAAGGAATTCACAGGAGTGCCCTGGGGCCCGGCAGAGACAGAGGGGCTATGCAAGAGTCTGGAGAGAAAGAAAGACAAGCGCTCAGTCCCATGTGACAACAGGAGATACCAAGGAAAGAAACAGAAAAGGTCTGGGTTTCCAGTGGCCTCACCCTGCTCTGAGCCTCTGTTTCCCCATAGGTGGAATCGATCTGGTCAGCCTCATTCTCACTGCCCAGGTAGGGGAACTCTAGAAACTCCTGCCAACTAGCTTCTCATAGAAGACGAGGAGCATACGATTTATTTCATGCAGAAACCCTGAGAGTCATGGAGTGAGGAAAGAGGGAGAAGCTTCGCCTCATCATGCCTTAGGCTCGGGAGCGATGGCCTGGCAGCCATTCTTCTGGGAAGGTTCCAACCAGTTTCTCAGAATTCATACATCCACCCTCATGAGTCCAGAGGGCCCTTGAGATCTGATCACTTGCAGCCAGGGATATCAAGGCTTGATGCTTCTGAGGTCCTCAGCTTTTGTAGTTGTTTGCCTTAAAAAAACAAAATTAAAATGAAGCTCCCAAACCCAGTTTCCAAGGATTTGGGATTCCAAATACCCAGCATTGTCCTCGAAGCTGAGATTTATCTTGAGCTTTCCATTCACCAACCACAGACCGTATTGAACACTTCTAAGAAATGATGACCTTTAATCCTCCTCATGGCCCTGGGAGGTCCATCTCATCATTAGTGTCATTATTCAGAGGGGAAAAACAGGTGCAGAGTAGTCAAGTGACTTGCCCAAGATCATAGCGCTGGCCAGTGGGGCGTCTTGCCTTCTTTGGGTCCCGAGCTTTAAAGAACTCAGGTTTTCCTGAGCTCAGAGATCTGAGGTTTTAAATTCTAGGATGCCATGACTGTGAGGTTCTTGGATTTGGAGATTGCATTGTGGTTCAAAGCTTGTGAGGCTGTCAGGTTGTCAAAGAATTGGTGATTTTGTTTCTCACCTTGACAGGCACCCTTCCAACCAGTGGTCAACACCTGAGCTCCCAGCCCCATGGGCTTTCTCCAAACAACTCGTGGTAGACTTCCTGCCATTGGCTCTTCACCCTCCTGCATGGTCCAGGCCTCTGGTCATCCAACACTCAACCTTCCTGCAAGACTGGCTTCGGGCCTGGGGGGAGAGAAAATGAAAATAGTTTTATATTCACATGGTATATCTGTCTTCTAACATCTGAAAATATGTTTTTATTGACCCCTAAGCCTGTCCTCTTTCCCTGCTCCCACTTTCTCTACCCTGAGAAAAAGGAGATCCTCTTTTCTAAACTCAGATTCACTCACCTGGAAAAGTCCAGAGTGGGCCTAATGGTCTGGCTTTGAGAAAACCAGGGGGAAAAGGTAAATTAAAAACAAAAAAACCAAAAAGGCTTAAACATGACCCAACAGGAACAATTACAAAACAAAGTAACAAAAGAAAGACAGCAAACCCAACCCAACCCGACCTAACCCTCCCGACCATTAGTTCAAAATAAAACGTTCACTGGTAGATGCTTCTGAGTTGGTGGGGGCACTTCTGAAACCCAAAGCTGGTCTCTGTGTGCCCGGCAGCCAGGGGACGCCCCAAGGTTTTACTAAGATCTCCAGCTTGGGGATCTGAAGGGATCCTGTCTTCAGTAGGTACTTAACAGATGCTGTGGCACGTGGGAGGGAGCGAAGGAGGAAGGAGCCCTATTAGGAAGGAGCCCTGGGGAGTCAACTGCAGGGATGTCCCTAAGGTTGACGATCTCCTGCTCCTCATGGATTTGTGTCTGCACATTTCTTATGCTTCCTGTGTAACTATAAACCATAGCAGCTCCAGAAGAGCAGTTCCTATTCCCTACCTGTCTCCTCCTGGGAGAGGGTGTTAGTTTTGTTTTGTTTTCTTCTCTCAAGGTCAGAGGTGTGGGCTACATCCTTCTCACCACCTCTCCAGGTGGTTGCTCCCTTACTATCCCTCCCTTCTTGAGAGGTAGTCATTACAGAGGTAGGAGGAACAATGAGTGGTCCAAAGAATCCCAGAAGGCTACCAGAACAGGGTCAAGGTGTAGGAGAGGCACTGGTAAAAGCCAGGAACCTTATAGAATGAAGGCCAGGGGGGCAGAGAAGCAGAAAGGGGCCAAGGTCACTGCTTCTTCTCTATACTGGACTGTATCCTCTCTTGGCGATGGCTCTGAGGAAGGGGATTGAGAGGGCTGGGAGTGGGATGGATGTGGGCATGATTCAACAGAGAGGTCAGAGAAAGTCTCCAAAGAAGGGGACCTTTGAGAAAGACTTGAAGGAGTTAAGGGAGGGGGCTATGTAACTCCAGAGGCAAAAGCCAGTGTAAAGGATTCGGTTCAAGGCTGGTGTGGTCAGAGTAGAGGGAGCAAGGGTCAGAGGGATAAGCGATAAGGTTAGAGACGAGGCTAGGGGGTTAGCTCATGCAGGGTTTTGTCGACCCTGATAAGGACTTAAGTTTTCATTGAGTGAGGCCGAAGCAGTGGGAAGGTTCCAAGAGATCACACCTGACGTAGGATTTAACAAGCTTGCCCTGGCTGTTGGGTGTAGAACGGAACTTGGAGGGTGAGGGTGGAAGCCTCCACAGTGAGGAGGCGGCTGCTGCACAGTCCAGGTGAGTGGTGATGGTGTGCAAGTCTGGACGGTGGAAATCTTTTGCATGGGAGAGCTGAGAGAACTTGCTGCTGCTGAGTCTGGTGCCAAGCCAAGACCCTGACAATGTCCCCCAAAGGTACGCAGGAGTGAGTTCTTGGACTGCCTAAGCTCTCTCTCGGATAAGTTCTCATTCTTTTTGTGGCTTTCTGTCACTTGCAGCTGAATATACGCCTTCCTGACCTATAACCCTATCCAGCAACCTGAGGAGGGAGAAGGTCTGCTGGGTGATGGCTCCCACCTAGGGACAATGTGAGGCTTAAATACGATGATAATAATAATAGCACGCACATAACCTGCCACACAATAGGTGTTCATTACATTCTCACAGGAGGGGAGGGTATGTGTATGAATGCACACATTTGGCTTGACAGTGGACCAAAGCTACAACTCAGTTCTTAACAGGAGGTGAGACTTCAAAGGGGAGAGGAGTTCACTAGCTGAAGGAAGCATGAAGAACATCCTTCGCAGGAGAGGAATCAGTGGCCGCCAAGACAAGGGTCAGAGCGAAGGTAGGCGAGGTCACTGTGGGGTGCAGTGTGCTGGGCTGGGACCTGGCTTTATGATTGAGCCGGTTCCGACCAACATGCCCAATTAACGTCGGCTAATATCCAGCTAGGCGCAGCGTTTGCTGAGCTGGATCTTCCCCAAAGCCCGATCTGGCCATTCGGTTGGCAATGTCGCAAAGCCTTGAAGAATGCTGGGGGCATTCTTGGATAGTGGCATCATTCAAGCAAAGGCTGGGAGGAGGGAAGAGGTTTGGCAACAGTAACTGCAACGGGCTTTGCTTTCTTCGGTCTCACATCAGAGTGCAATCCAGGCCATCAGGGGCTAGGGATCGTTTTGGCTCAGGGGCAATGGTGAGTCACAGAAGATTGGGAGGAAGGTGAGACCATCCACGAGGGGTATACTCTTCTAATTGGCTGCCGGATTCTACGTTCTGTTGCTCCGAGCACCCAATAATAATTCTGGCTCTGCCTAAGCACCATCCTCCTCTCTGCCCTGCTCGTCGGATTATTCATCCCTCCCTTCACCACCACCCACACACCTCCTCCCGCTCCGCTGCCTTTGTTTCCCGTCCCACCTCCACGTCTTCTCTTCCTCCGCTACACTTTCTGGCCTCCGCATTGGTTCCTTCCGTCCTAGCACTGCCCCTTGTGGTCTCTCAGCCCTCACACAGGCTTCTCCCTTCCTCACTCCCCATTCATCTTCCACCCCCATTGGCCGCTCACATTTCGCCCCTTGGCTCCTTCTAGCCTCGCAATTGGCTCGTTCCATTCTGTCACTGCCTCTTGAATGCACGCTCACAAGACTCCCCATTAGCCCAGGGCAGCGATTATCGTTATCCCGCCTCTACGCCAACCCGGAGCAGCTCCTCATTGGCCGTCTCTCTCTCTCTCTCTTTCCTCTCGCCACCTACGCAAACCCCAATCGCTAACTTTTGAGGCCTCTCCATTTGCTCCTTGCTGCCCCATTGCCTGTAGCCGGCCCACCCTCCCTGGCTGCCCACAGACTCTCTATTGGCTGTCCTCATTCTGCCCTCTCCATCCCACTTCCCGACCACGCCCATTCCGGCCTCTCCATTGATCCCCAATCATCCCGCCCCTCTCAGGCGTCCCCATTGGCTTTCTGCTATTCCCGCCCCCATTTCACCTCTTGCATCACCGTGCACGCCCCCTCATTGGTCGCCTGCTCTACCTGTCTTCGTCTCACCGCCTACGCCCCCGAGAGTCGCACCCC